GCTCTGAGGAAGGCGAAATCCGCCGAAACGTCAGCTTATTCGTGAATAAAGAACAATAACACCTCGCGTTTGCTCAACAAAAATACGAAGAATTACATTGCAATGATTAAAGTTGTGAAACTTATCACTCGTTAATTCAAGACTATTAATTGAAATTTTAACTTATTATTTACTGCCTACTTCTTTTAACGGCAGGGTATATTGCGAAATATAACTCTAATGATGCTGAGATATTTGCAAAACTCCGGACCGCAGGTAGGTCTGCGGTGGGGAACGAACGCGCTATTGTTCTTTCCGGGGAATAACGCCTTTACCACCATACCATGCGGGTCCTTCGTTTCGCCTGTCTCTCAGCTAGTTCTATTGATCTTTTTGCCATCAGCAATCACCCGTCAACGGGATTGATCTGGGGAGCCCAAATCGGCATTGAACCCAGTTAAGCTAGGGCTGTAGTTATAATCACAATCGTGCTGATAGCAAGTGATCGATACAACTAGCTGAGAGACAGGCGAAACGAAGGACCCGCATGGTGTGGTGGTGAACGCGTTACTTCCCGGAAGGGGCAATAGTGCGTTCGCTCCCCACCGCAGACACCGGTGATCCGGAGTTCTGCAAATATCTCAGCATTATAGAGGTTATATTTTGTAACATACCCTGCCATTTAAAAGAATAGGCAGTAAATAAAAAGGCTAGTCTTGGTATTAATCAGAAAACTATTTTATTTCCCTAAACACTGAACATTGTTCGAAAATTGAAATGGTACAACGTGTAAGTGGAAATCAATGATCGGCAATTACACCATTTTCTCTTTGCTGATGACATCGCTCTCATAAAACCAAACACGAGCCAGGCGGAACGCATGCCAGCCAACCTTGATAACCCTTGTGCAAAGATTGCTATTCAATTAAATGTTCATGAGGAATGAATTGGTTTCATAAGCCCTATTCACGCTCAATGGATTGAATATCACCGAATGTTCCAGCTACGTCTATCTAGGTCGGAAAGTTAACATTGTGAACGGCTTGTTCCAGAATTAAGAGGGGGAAGCGGGCGGTTTGGGGAGATTTCAAAAGCATCAAGGATGTAGTGAGGAGAACGAAGAATACCCGACCCTATGACCACTTTTTCGATTCTGCGATTCTCTTTGCTTAACTCACGCGTCAGAAACCTAGCGGCTACGTAACCGGGATGGAATATCATTCAGCATTATTGAACACGCAGTCGAAAGGACGATGCAAGGAGTACCCCGTGTCACACGAGTATGGGAAGGGATCCGAAGCTCAAATCTCCGTCAACGATCAAAAATCAGAGATGCCGTTTTGTACTCCAAACTGTCGATAATGAGATGGGCCGGATACATAATGCATTTGAACGACAACCGATCGACAAAAGGCGTTAACCACTGGGTTCCTCGGGATGTCAAATCCCCAGCAGGAAGACCACCGACCTGATGGTTGGAGTTCTTCACGAAAAGCCAGAACGAAAGGTTTGACGCTCAACGAGTCCTTAGAGCGAGCAGAACCCACTGGGCTACTCTTACACGCAGGAGTGAAAAATGGAAGGGCTACTGCTGATCGCTGGAGTCACTTGACGATCAACGAGAAGACAAGAAATACGGGTGAATAATTGACTTTAGTCACCAAAATTATTATCCTGTTTAAATGGAAAGCATGTAGTGAAATGTACTGTTGAACATAATGTGGTGGACTGCAATACACGTTGAGCATCCTATTCATTGAATTGTGCTGTGCTTTAGCCAACCTGACTTTCTTATCGTCGTTTTCTTGTTCAGCAATCGCAAGGTTGTTAAACATCATACATTTGCTTCCATAGAAAAACACAATTTTTCCTTATCCGCATGGTGTGGTGGTGAACGCGTTGCTCCCCGGAAAGGGTAATAGCGCATTCGTTCCTCACCGCAGACACCTGCGGTCCAGAGTTTTGCAAATATCTCAGCATCATTGTGGTTGTATCACACTCCATAAAATAACCTTAGCGATTAAGTGGAATAATAATTAATTAATAGTCAGAGTAACAGTCAAATAACTTTTCGGAAAAAGAGAGCTCTTTACAAATCACTGAGCGGAGAGGATGGCTGCTCTGTTCTCACTTCTCCTTCCTTGATCTGCTTTCGTTTAACTATCGAACGAATATGAATAGTCCACTAAAACATTCTGGAGCCCACTGAACTGCAAATGTATACTATCTGGTACATATCCACTTACTTCACCAAGTATGGATACTATGCTGTCCATACCGTCGCGAGTAGGCTAAGTAGTTCTAAATTTGTTATAAGTCTATTTTTAATGTTCGAAAATGAAGTAGGAATCGTCAACGTTATAAACGCAAGCGTCTAGGGGAGGCTTATAGCGCAGTGGTCGGATGCGCCTGCAATACACATGGGATCGTCGACTCCGCCCCCAAGCTCACCGAACCCTCCATCGGGATCGTCGACCACGCCCCAAGCTCACCAAACCCTCCATTCTTCCGGGGTCGGCAAATTGGTACCAGATTTATTTGGGTGGAAAGCAGCAGTGGCTCGATACATCGGTAGACCACCATGAGACATTGTCAAAGCTAGATATGCATTCAGTGACCTCCAACGATGCTTAAAATCGCTCCTGTTCAATTATTTTATCTTTCGAAATACGAGTCTCTACGAAAAATTTAGAAAACTGCAACGGAAAATCAGAATTTTATTGTGGTGAAATGAGGAAACTTAAATTTTATTGGAAGAGATTAGTAGATTCAGATAACTCTTGCTTAAATTGCTTAAGTTCACTATGAGATAAGATATTCTGGTTTGAAATTTGAAAGGGAATTATTACCAGTAGCATACGCATTGAAATGAACGCATGCAAATATATGAATACGTTAGAATACGACCATAACAATAACTTTTTCTGATTAAAAATTTCCTTCATTGTTTTAAAAACTTTTTAAATGAGAAATTTCAATTTTAACTTATTATTTACTGCCTACTCTTTTTAATGGCAGAGTATGTTGCGAAATATAGCTTCAGTGATGGTGAGATATTTGCAAAACTCCGGACCGCAGGTGTATGTGATGGGGAACGAACGCGCTATTGTCCTTTCCGGTGAGTAGCGCGTTCACCACCACACCACATGGATCCTTCGTTTCGCTTGCCTCTCAGCTAGTTCTGTCGATCTTTTGCCATCAGCAATCACCCTTCAGCGGGAAAGTGAGAAATTTGAAGTCATTGATCTGGATATACATTTACATCTGCTTAAAATATGTTATATTCGTCTGAATAGTTGAGTGGAACCTCTTAGGAATTACAAGGAATCCTGCGGGCCCCAGCACAATTTCCATTTGATTGGTTATTTGCTAGTTGCTCATGGTTCCCCTTTGCGCTGCAGTTTTCAAACCATTGCCAAGGCGTTTCCGGATCGTCACCGCTTAGCAGCTGGTAAATATCTGGTTACCAAGGTGGTAGTAATTCCTGGCCTTGGTTTAATCATAGCTGGATTTCCGAATAGAAATGTCAAACTCGTTGTTAGTTCGGGAGACTCTGCTACGAAGATGAACCATCGTATAAAACACATGTGAGCCTAAGAGAAAAACGGGTTTGAGAAAGCTGTGACAGAGGTACTTCAAATATCTTACATAGTGTTTTAAGTAATGAAGACCCTTATTTTCATTATCGTTAGAAATCGACACTTATACCGTATGTGATACGTTTATACTTTTCTCGGTTTACTAGTTGATTTTACAATATTTTCCTCAGGTCAGCACATTTTGTGGGAGCAAAGGAACAAAATAGTTTTTTAAATGATTGTCTGCTTAAAACATCTTCAACAGTTCTAGGAATTTAACCATTTTGGGTGGTACGACATTTCAAAAGTTTAAGAACTCTTAGTATTTTGAGCAATTTTTTTCCGTTGGCACTCTTCTCGACTCATTGCGGCGTTGAAGAAGACGGAAGCGCTAAAACGCTGGCGACCATACAGTTTTAGAACAACCTCGTTTACATTTATCAATAAACCAAAACGTTGGTTATTCGTGCAGGGATTAAGTGAAAATCGGCTTAATTTGCATGCATTTTTATATTACCTGAGATCACATTTGGCTACCACTTGAGAATTTTGTCGTCTTCATGAATGACGTTCAGTGGTGCTCCGGTTGTTTCTCCTGTTATTCTGGAATAGCTCTATTAGAGCGTTCTTAGGTCGCTTCGCTAATGGCAGCAGTCAGTTCTTGAGTCGGGAGAAGCTTTTCGCGAAATAAATTTGGCGCGAATTTGTTGATTCTGGAATCATAGAGGGCGTTGTTGGTTAGGCAGAGATCGAACCAGCAACCATGCCTGTATTACACACTTTCTCTACCACTGCGTGGACAATAGTGCCGTATAAAAAACGAAGTGAAACAGCTTCTCCAATGAAACAATCACGCTCTATGTTTTCTTGATTTGCACTTTTAGTGTTCGGAGAACTTCATTTCTTTACTTAAATTCGAGTTTTTTCTTGAGAAATAGAAACCCCGTACCCGTATCTCACTTTCAAGTATTGTAGTGAATAAAAGTACAAATTATTGGTAATATACTCGGAGAAATAAAGTAATTGAGATCAAATTTTCTCACAAGGTGACATGTGGTGGAGAAATCCAACGTGTTGCGTTTATAGTATTTCCCACGATTTTTGTTTGCGTGAATGTGCTTAGGACAAAAACATTACTGGTTAGTTTTTTGCTCCAGAGTTGTTCTTTAGAATAAGCAAGAGGTATAAGTCAGCACATCCGGCCGAGAGGTGACCAAAAATCTCGCTGTCTCAGGCACTAGGAATGCTAGACTAGGAATGGGAATAGGAACTAAGTCGGCTCAAAAATTTCCAACCAGCACTTCGCGCCTGCATTGACTCATAAATATTTGGCCACCCGCGATTGAACATTTGGAGGTTTCAGTGAGCTTTCCATCATCTCGTAGTCCTCTTTCTGACGCCTCATCCCCGTTGATGTTGCGCCCCCAGCCGCTTAGGGGGTCGATGGCCTTGGTGCGCTACCGCCGCCCGTGGTCGGCCGTTGGTGGTCGTCCGTTGCCTTGCCAAACCCCTAGCCGCTCGCCCCGCGACCCGTCGCTATGCGAGGTGAGTCTATCCCGAACCAGGTTACCGGGTCCCAACCGCCCGCCCCTTGTTCCGACCCCAATCGCCCCTATTTTGACCTCGTTGGGGCCTCAATTTATACGAACTTCATTATACTGAACCGCTTGAGGGTGATTATCTCGTCATACAAGATAAGCTCTGCTGCTACTCGGTCGTGAGTGTAGTCACTTTTGTATCGCATTTGTCTCTGTTATGTGTGTGCGATGAGCTTCGCATAGTCAAGTGCTCTTGCTTTGCGTGTATTACAGTATTCCTGTAGTGAAAATAGAGAACAGCTACAGCCACACGTTATGCTACAGTTTTGTGAACCATTTGCTTTTATCAAACGTTCTGTATACCGCTATGCTTACCTGGAGTTTTGCTCCTTACGAATAGCACAATTTTCACTGTGTTCTCTTCCAAAGGCTCTTTCATATCATTGCTCCTCCTCCACATGATTATGCACCTTTTGTGGCTTGGCTAGCTGCAAAGCCTTGCAGTTACGGAAAGACATTTTGTAACATTTTAAAACATTTCACAACTCAACTCTTTCTGTAATCCTATTTTGTCATCGATATTTTCCTAACAGCAGCATGACACTTGGAGAATTCGTATGCACTTTCCTTTACAAATTGGTCAATCAAAAGACTTTTCGCAGTCTTCTCACCTTTTCATCGTTCATTGGTGCACCTTCTGATCATCTCGTCATCCATTCATCCTTCTGTATCACGAAATCAAAACTACGCAATCGATCTGATCGGCGACCACTCCGAGTTATTGTAATCTTCTTGACGTGACTGAGTTGGGTGTATGACCTCTGGATAGCGCATGGTTACATATCAAATCAAAGGCAACAACGATGACGACGATGAGGTGACACCGGATGCATTGGATTGAGATCGGAGACCATTTTAGCAGCAATCAGCAGTTGTCTCCTAACCGAAGTTCTCTACCGATTGCTACCGTTTCGATTCCAGTTTTTCTTCAGTGGAGAATTTCAAGCTATCAACGGCTGACTAGCTACCAGGACGAAAGTACGGTCAACTCATTTGGACGCTGTCGACCAGCCGGCTGGCTGGCACATGCGAATTCGCCGATCATTTCGGTGTTACTCCGTGCAATTCACCGGCTGGAGGTCAACCACCGTCAGTGCCGGCGCGATTGCACCGCGCTCAGCAAAACACCACCTATGCGATCGCCGTCGTCCGAGTGATCAGCGCGCATAACGCTACGGATTAGTCGACTGAACGCCCTGAGAAGGAACGCCGACCAGAAGCGGATGGCTCGATGAATGAGTGATTGAATGAATGCCAGCATTGTGTCGACCTCTACAAAATTCAAACTCGCTAGCATCCATCACATCGGTGTAGATGTGTTCCTATTGAGTCACGCCCATATTTGACGGAAATTGCGCTGAAGGCGACCGTAACTATTGCGACAAATTGAGCGGCGCGCTACAATAAAACGTTGTAGACGGCTCTTCCAAGTGGACTTGTAAAAATTGCTATTAGTTCATTATCAGCTCTGCTTGTGATAGAGTTTATCACCGATGGAAAGACCGTTTACCACTGGCTTATTTAGCACATACATTGCGATACCTTTACTTGAAGCCGCTTTGTAGACTTACAAAGGCTCGTGCATCATTCAGATAACACTGTCGGAATATATTGGACGATGGAACGATGGTTCTTTGATGAGAACTTGAGAGCTTGGACGGTTGGAAACGTAAATAACTTATAGAAGAGGTTCTACTCTACTGTTAAAACGATAACTATATATGTTACAGTCTACTTTATGTTCCTAATGTCAATCATCCAACCAAATTGTTTTCCAAATTTGCAAGTCTTTAATGTTTAACGTTTTGTTTTCTGCCTTCTATAATTTTCATGGCAGGTTACTAAGCGAAATACAACCACAACGTTGCTGAGATATTTGCAAAACTCTGGACCGCAGGTGTCTATGGTGGGGAACGAACGCGCTATTATCCCTTCCGGGGAGTAACGCGTTCACCACCACACCATGCGGGTCCTTTGTTTCGCA